CCCCAGGAATTCACCACCATCTGACCTTGAAGAAGAGGTCAGATGACTGGTAGGGATAGGAGTGGGAAGTGGTTGCTGCATCTTCTGTTTCTTGCCTTGTGACAAAGCAGTGACAGAAAGAATCAGTCCAATTTGTGGCCATGGGACCCTTCCTGGCTCAGGATTCCATTGCCAGTGAGCGTGTGATGGTATCATGAATTCTTCTGTGTACCATTGGAATCTTCCTTGAGATGTCTTGAGATAACTTGCTGCAAACTAACTCTCTCTCCTTCCCACCAGAATTACAGGAAATAAATATGAGCATAATGTAAGTGTTTCAGTGTGAATTAAAACATGCTGTTGGTTTGGACTCTACCTACACTCTTTTATATTCCTCTCCCCTACGTTTCTCTCAAAGGTCAAATGCAGCCTTCAGCTGAGAAAGATTTGCAAGCCATCTCTCAAAGCATTAATCTGTTAGAACTGAGATGTTCCATCTTGGTTTTTCATATATATATCTATGTATTACTCATCTCCTAACCCCACTACAGGGGTGGTATTCAACAAGTTCTGACCAGTTCTGGAGAACCGGTAGGGGAAATTTTGAGTAGTTCGGAGAATTACTACACGTTCTGTGGGCGTGACTTGGTGGGCGTCGCAGGGGAAGGATACTGTAAAATCTCCATTTTGTCCCCAATCCAGGGGAAGGTTACTGCAAAATCCCCACTTCCTCCCGATCAGCTGGGACTTGGGAGGCAGAGAATAGATGGGAGTGGGGCCAGTCAGAATTTTTACTACCGGTTCCCCGAACTACTCAAAATTTCCACTACTGGTTCTCCAGAATTGGTCAGAACCTGCTGAAATCCACCTCTGTAGTAGTAGTAGCAATGGTGGGATTCAGCCAGTTCGCACCAGTTCGGGAGAACCGGTTGTTAACTTTCTGAGCAGTTTGGCAAACTGATTGTTGGAAGAAATCATTAGGGCAGAGAACCGGTTGTTAAATTACTTGAATCCCACCACTGAGTAGTAGTAATGTTAAGTTACATAAGGGGATACAGATAAGAGAAGGAAGGGTCCAAAGTTCCCTGTGCCAATATTCCTTCACGGAGAACACTCCCTTTGACCCACAGATGATGGAGCCAGAGCTGAAAGTTTGAGACCAAGTGTTGCCAGCAGCATATAGAGAGCTGGTGGCCCCAAGATATGTGATTGAGTGATGGACTGGCAGCTGAGCTTTCATAGTCAAGGTAGTATCTTGTGTCTTAGTCCATAAAAAAAGGTAAAATTTTCCCCTGTCCAGTTGTGTCCGACTCTAGGGTGCAGTGCTTATCTCTGTTTCTTAGCTGAGAGAGCTAGCCGTGTCCAAAGATGCTTCCATGGTCATATGGCCAGCATGATTGTATGTTAAAGTGCATGGAACGCTGTTACCTTCCCACTGGAATGGTACCTATTTATCTACTTGCATTTGCATGCTTTCAAACTAAGTGGGCAGAGGCTGGGGCAAGTAAAAGGAACTCACCTCATTGCACAGTGCTCAGGACTCGAATCTGGACTGTTGACTTTCCAGCTGACAAACCCAGCTTCTTTAACTGCTGAGCCATTGTGCCCCTTGGTCCATAAATACTGTAGGTATCAATAAAGGAGAATATTTATAGCCCAGAGTTGAAATGAAGAATCCTCGGTGCTCTCTGTGCTTGGTTGTTTTCCTGCAGACATTTCATTACCCAAGTAGGTAACATCAACAGTGCTATCACTTGTTTTTTTTAAATTTTTAAATTATTTATTTATTTGTCAAGCATATATAAGATAACAGGTAAAAGTATAAACATAATTTGAATACATGAAAAGAGTAACTTGTGGAAGAGGATGTTACTTAGTTGGGTAATGGAACATTTGCAAGGAAACAATCAAACTCAAAGAGCACCAAAGCCAGGCTGCACGTTTCCCCCCTTTTGTTCTGTAGGAAGTTAGCACCCACCCCTCTCCTAGGAAAATGAGAGATTTTAGGAAATATTAAAAGGGCAGAATATTTCCCCTAAAAGTGAGACAGAAACTCAGCCCACCCCCCCACCCCCCTTTGTCAATGGGCCATTAAGCCATAGTAGGAATTCCCCTCAGCCAAGATCCAACAAATAGCCCTCCACCCATTTAGTAACAGAATTCACCAAATGGCACCTGGGGAGATTGCATCATCCAGCAAGGCTCAACCAAGCTTGGGACTCAGGACAGACTATAGAGTTGCCTCTGCATGGCGCCATGGGAGTCTGACAACCAATCAGAATACAAGCTCAAATTTAAAGCCCAACAGAGGGCATAAAACCAAGGCACTCTCAGCATCTTGTTCCTTTTTCTGCTCAGGAACTCAAGCCATGTGATCCTGCTCAGGAACTCAAGCCATGTGATCCTGCTCAGGAACTCAAGCCATGTGATCCTATTCATCAATAAACCTTCTTTCCAAGCAACTTCCTTGAATCCAGTGTCTTTTTCTGTACTTGGAACTGAACCCAGAAGGATATTTCTTCCAACAATTCACAATTTGGTTTGTGCAACATAGACGCTGGATTTGGTTTGTGCAACATAGACGCTGCCTCCCCCGCCCCCATAATATCCAAAAGGCGACGCCTTGTAACAAGGAAGGGGAGCGCCTCCAAATTACGGGAGATCTGGAACACTTACACAAATGAATTAGCATGGGAACAATTAGCTAACTACTTTCAGAAGGCCATTTCCCCAGATGTGAGGATGGCTGATTGGTCTAAGGCACCAGACTCAAGGCTCGCTCCTTTCCCAGTATTGGGTGTTCTGGTCCCCGAATAGAGGTATGAGTTCAAATCCCACTTCTGACATAATCCTTTTTTTTGCCTCACCCCAAATCTCTCTCTTTCAGCGTTCGCTATAAACTTCTGAAGCAAACGCAAGTAACGATAGCAGAATAACTGAATTTTTTATATCTTTCCATCATTCATTTTTTTCTGATTGACATATATACCAATATGACCTCTATTTTTCTAAAGAATCCAAGCAATTAAGTTGAAAACACACTATGGATACAGTTAGAAATATATTGTATGACCTCTCTTGAATCACGTCAGATTTTAATCAGAATTGTTCTGTATTTCCTATATTAAAGTTTGCAAAACATATTTGGAGGGTATTGGAGCAGATCAGTGGTGAAATTCAATTTTTTTTACTATCGGTTCTATGGGCGTGGCTTGGGGTGTGTGTGATGTGGCTTGGGGGGCGTGGCTTGGCGGGCATGGCAAGGGAAGGATACTGCAAAAACTCTATTCCCACCCCACTCCAGGGAAAGGATACTGCAAAATCCCTATTCACTCCCTACTCTGGGGCCAGCCAGAGGTGGTATTTGCCGGTTCTCCAAACTACTCAACATTTCCGCTACTGGTCCTCCAGAACCTGTCAGAACCTGCTGGATTTCACCCCTGGAACAGATGCATAACTTTGACCCTTATCAATATACTAAATTTACTTTCAAATAATCCCAATCTGAAAATTGAAGGGGGAGTTTGGAGGGAATTCATAGGATATTAATCCAGCAGCCTTTCTCAGCTAAGATTCCTCAGACTCAGAGATTCAACAAGAGATTGTGACAGAAAAAAAACCACTGTAAATCTGATTTTTTAAAAAAACTTTGCACATTGTACTATGCTATTGCTCACCCCGATGGACATTTTTAAGTGCTGTAATTTAGCTGCTAGCCTGTTGCTATGCTCTTGTAAAACATGTTTTATCTAGGTTAGAACTTAGCTGTATTGCAATGTTTTTACATTTTTGTGATCTTTATGCAGGGATTCCTTAAGACTTGAAATTTATTATAAGGGTTCCTCCAGGATAAAATGGTTGAGAAAGGTTCCTATAAGATCAATGTTTTTCAACCTTGGCAACTTTAAAATGTGTGGACTTTTAACTCCCAGAATTCCTTGCCAGCTTGCTCAATCAATTTTTTAAAACTATTTAGATTATTGCAAGAGGAATTTGGATGTGAAATGACAGGATAGTCAACTGAAACTTATTTTCATTTTACAATTAGGTCCAGATGTATAAAAAAGGTAAAGGTAAAGGTTCCCCTCGCACATATGTGCTAGTCGCTCCCGACTCTAGGGGGCGGTGCTCATCTTCGTTTCAAAGCCGAAAAGTCAGCACTGTCCAAAGACGTCTCCGTGGTCATGTGGCCAGCATGACTCAATGCCAAAGGCGCACGGAACACTGTTACCTTCCCACCAAAGGTGGTCCCTATTTTTCTACTTGTATTTTTTACATGCTTTTGAACTCCTAGGTTGGCAGAAGCTGGGACAAGTAACGGGAGCTCACCCCATTACGTGGCACTAGGGATTTGAACCGCTGAACTGCTGACCTTTCGATTGACAAGCTCAGTGTCTTAGCCACTGAGCCACCACGTCCCTTTCCAGATGTATAAGCAGCATCTAAAATTTCTGAATAACTCAGAACTGATATGTTCAGGGGTGGGATTCAGCCAGTTCGCACCTATTCGAGAGAACTGGTTGCTAACTTTCTAAGAAGTTCAGATAACCGGTTGTTGGAAGAAATCTTATTTTGTTTTTTCCACTTTACAGAGCTAATCCTGTAAGGAAGGCAGGAAGGAAACATTCTGGTGTTGTTTCTAGCCTAATCTTTATTGCCCTGCTTACAGAAACTGCCTCTCTGGTTAACCCTTATTATATTGTAACAGCTAAGGTGAAGTGCCCATTGACGTGAGTGATGTTGAGTTGGCCATGCCCACATGGTCACATGACCACCGAGCCACGCCTACCCAGCTAGTCATTAGGGCAGAAAATCAGTTGTTAAATTATTTGATTCCCACCATTGGATATGTTCTTTTCATGTGGCTTACTCATGGGTGTTAATGCAAAAGAATTTATTTCCTTGTTCATTCTTTTATGTATAATTAGAATGGGCGGGGAGGATAAAAGTGTAGGCAAGAAGGTTAGAGTATAAAAGCATTCTCCAATGCATCCTCTCGACTTATGAATCACAGTGTTTTGAGCACTTTACGTAGCTGCTAATGCTGTAGCATCATTAAATCTTCTTCCAAGCATTGCCATTGACAGTCTACAGGCCAACATGATTAATGTCTTCTGTAAGTACCTTTTTGCCTAAGACTCACTAACTGAATTATGGATTGAACGAAATGTATTATTTAATATAATATGGCTCAAAGCATAGTCAGGTGAATGTTTAGGCCGGATTAGACACTTTTTACTACTAGTTCATCACATAGTTAGTCAGATGTTCAGACTGGATTTGGCATTTTTGTCCACTTATCAAGTCCTTCCTAAGGACCTGGGATAGGCAGATACTGATGTTTTATGATGTTAGAGGTATCGTCACAGGATGTCAGCTGCTTCGAGTAAAGCTGTCTTTTGCAATTGACTGATGGTGAATTTGTCTATTATTATTATTATCTCTTTTATTCATTAAACATGAAATTCAGTCAACTGAACATTTAAAAATGTGTCACAAATACAATTGACTGGTGCTAATGGTTGATACGGGTTGCTGCCAGCTTCCTAGGTATCAACCAAGTATCTTCTTAAAATGTATGATGTTCCGAGTAGCATAGTTTTTTGCAATTCCGCTGGTGTTATTTCAGGAAGCCGCAATTTCTTGATGTGTTTTGTAAAATTCTTGGACATGGTACCAAGTGCCCTGATGACAATGGGTCACTGTTACATGTTTCATCCATAGCTGTGTAGTTTCGATGGCCAGGTCACGATATTTCATGATTTTTTCCAGTTCTTTTTCTTTGACTCTGGCGTCTCCTGGTACAGCAATATTACTGTGTTGAGTTCAAGTTCAGTGGGGGTTTTCACATACAGTTTTAAGTCATCCATGTATAGTAGATGGTTTATCCTGCCATGTTGGCTTGAGATTTGGTAGCTCAGTTTTGTGTTTCGTAGGATTATTGTCAGTGGAATTAATGTGATGTTGAACAGTAGTGGGACTGGGAATCTCCATAGACTTTTAGGAATGTGATTATTGAGCAAAGCAGTCAGGGGGACGTCTTGCTTAATGACCGCAACAATTCACAACTGCAATTCTGATCTCAGTTGTGGTTGTAAATTGAGCACTACCAAGCAACCTAGAACTAAGGAGAAATTTCCTGACAGAACAATTAATCAGTGGAACAACTTGCCTCCAGAAGTGAATGTTCCAACACTGGGAGTTTTTAAGAAGAGATTGGACAACCATTTGTCTGAAATGGTATAGAATTTCCTGCCTGAGCAGACTGTCAGGGTTCCAAGTAACAAACCCAGTGATCAAAACTCCGAGGCCTGGCAGTTCTTCAAAGTATGAATTTATTAGGAATGTCATATTGGCACATCTGGGGAAATGTTGTGGCCCGTCAGTGGCCTGTGCAGCTAGTAGCTGATTCTGACAGCGAGGAGGCTGGTGTGGTGCTGCACCAGTAGCCTGTGCAGCTGGCACTTGAGTCAGACAATGAGGAGACTGGAAAAGATGTGGTGCCAGAGGCGGGGATTCAGCCAGGGCATTCAGAACCTCCAGAAGCTCCTATAAGTGAAGAGGAAGAAGAGGAAGAGCCTCTTCTCAATGCACGGGCGCACAGAGCTGCCAAAAGGCAGGAGTGGCTCCTCAGGAGGAGGTCTCCTCAAGAGTAAGGCTTGGGGCTAATTGGCCACTCCCTTAGCCTATTTAAGGAAGGACGACGACTGAGGCAATTTGCAGGGAACAACTTCATTCACTCTCTTTCGCTCTTGATCTTAGTTCTCTTATCAGTTTCCTGCAAATTGCTTCTGGGCTTTCTGCCAACCATAGTAAGATTACGATTATTTATTCTTTGGATTCTTGTAGGCTGTTAAGAAAGTTAATTAACAGCCTACAAAAAGGCTTCCAACTCTGTTTATTCTATTCTATTCTATTCTATTCTATTCTATTCTATTCTATTCTATTCTATTCTATTCTATTCTATTCTATTCTATTCTACTCTACTCTACTCTACTCTACTCTACTCTACTCTACTCTACTCTACTCTACTCTATTGAAAAAGCTTCCACCTTTTACTTCTTCTCTTACCCTCTGGTGCCCTAGAGAATGAGTCAATCCCGTTTTCTTTGTGACAGCCCCTCAAGTATTGGAAGACAGCTATCATGTCCCCTCTAATCCTTCTTTTTAATAGGCTAGCCACTAGACATACCTAGCTCCAGAAGTGGGTTTTAGCAGGTTCTGACCAATTCTGGAGAACCAGTAGCAGAAATTTTGAGTAGTTCGGAGAACCTGTAAATACCACCTCTGACTGGCCCTGCCCCCATCTATTCTCTGCCTCCCGAGTCCCAGCTGATGGGGAGGAAATGGGGATTTTGCAGTAACCTTCCTCTGGAGTGGATTGGGAATGGAGATTTTTACAGTATCCTCCCAGGGGTGGGTTCTAATTTTTTTTACTATTCGTTCTGTGGGCATGGCTTATTTTGTGGGCGTGGCTTGGTGGGGGTAATGTGACTGGGTGGGCCTGGCCAACCTTTTTTTTTTTTTACTTTTAAAAGCATTTTTTCTACAACCTTAAGAGGTTGCAGAAAAAAATGCTTTTAGAAGCCTCTGACGATCAGGCAACTCAGCTGGGATCGCCAGAGGCTTTTAAAGGCATTTTTTTTCCTACAACCTCTTTTGCTGAAGAAGTTGTAGAAAAAATGCTTTTAAAAGTTAAAAAAAAAAAGCCTCTGATGAGGTGGGCGGGGTAAGCGAGCAGCTACCAGGCCGGGGACCGGTTTGGGGGCGTGGCCAGCCAATGTTAATACCGGTTCTCCAAACTACTACAAATTTTTACTACCAGTTCTTGTGAACCGGTGCGAACCGGTAGCAACTCACCACTGTATCCTCCCCTGCCACTCCCACCAAGCCATGCCACACCCACCAAGCCACACCCACAGAACCGGTAGTAAAACATTTTGAAACCCACCATTGCCTAGCTCCCACAATGGTTTATGATACCTGCTGATTGCAGTTAGTCAGCCAATTGCAAATCTATCTGGTGGTGATGCTGTCTGTCCTACATTTTTAGAGTCATTAGGTATCTATTATTTGCTTTCAGGGCATGCTGCTCACATGAGTGGGGATGGGTGCATGCTCACACACTCACCTGCCACCTCCACGGCCCGGTTCCAAAAGGCTCAAGGCCTGGTAGTTGGTTGGGCACCCCTGGGTTAGGGGAATGTAGCTGTTCTAAACTATATTTCTGAGGCTAGCCTTTGTGTGAAAGAAAATAGGAAATCCCATGGTGATAAGAAAACCTGAGTTACTGGGTTCAGAAGAGAAGTTGAAAGTTTTCTCTTTATCTTTTCAGTTGTACCTGATTTTTTATAACCTTATTTTTCAACCTTGGTGACTTTAAGATGTGTGGATTTTAACTCCCAAAATTCTGGCACTTGAAGTCCACAGATCTTAAAGTTGCTAAGATTGAAAAACACTGATTTATAGCCTTTTATACATTAGCTGTCTCCATTTTTTTCTGATGCTTTACAATTTTGCTTTTTGCCATTCTTAGCATAACTGGTTTTTCTCAGGAATTTTATTGCACAACATACCCAAAAGAGGGCACGCTTACCTTCGTAATCCTAGGTTTCGGTGACTCTTTTGGCTTGACATGATCGGTGGATTTAAAACAAGATTGGAGCAGTAAAAATGTTGATTTGGGGTAATTTTACATTGTTATTTATTTCAGTTATATCTTAACCATAATTTACAAGATAGGGCTTAGTACACCAAGTTCCAGAATAGGATTCTGGAATAAGTTAGAAAGTTAGAACACAGATAATATCTAACAACACTGTATTGGGAACTCTGGAGAAGATCTACTAGCAATTCAGTGTAAAACTGTCCATTCGCTGAGCAAGGGGATCAGTAATCAAGAGTTCTAAGTGGTTCTTCTAGAACGTTGGAGATACATCATGGAGAAGGGCAAAGTTGACTAAGTCATTCCCTGCTCACCATTGGTGTCCTCAGCAAAAAAGGAGCCCCACCATCCCAATAAAATAATCATGAATTGGGGTAAGGTGTGCTTATACAGTATTGGAATAATCTCATATTGATTGTAACTCTTTCCAGGTCCACCGACTCGTCCTACTGTTGCAATGCCTTGTCTGCTATGCCCGTCTCTCTTGTGCTGCCTCCTCCTCCTCCTTCCCTTTCCATTAGCCTCCAGTTCTGCGTCTAAAGGAGACACAGTGGTCATAACCAGCAGTGGCCCTATTAAGGGCAAGCATGTCCTGGCTGGCCTTGGGTCTCTGACAGCCTATCTAGGCATTCCTTATGCTGAGCCTCCCCTGGGGAAGTTGCGTTTCCAGAAAACTCTTCCACATCAGCCATGGAAGCAAACCCTGGAAGCCATCAGTTTTGGTAATTCCTGCCCTCAATTTATTTTCCGGGATGTCCCTGAAGCAGATATATGGTCTCCTAAAACACCACTGTCAGAAGATTGCCTTTCCCTCAACATCTGGGTGCCACATCCACAACCTTCTTCCCCAGTCCCTGTTTTGGTCTGGATACATGGAGGGAGTTATGCATTCGGCACGTCTTCTGTGGACATGTTCAATGGGGCATCCTTGGCTGCCGCTGAGAACGTCATTGTGGTCACCATCAATTATCGCTTGGGAGCCCTGGGCTTTCTGTACTTGCCACCAGCTGCTCCAGGGAACCTAGGCTTATGGGACCAACAGCTGGCCCTGAAGTGGGTAAAAGAGAATGCAGCTGCCTTTGGGGGAGATCCTTCTCGGGTGACCATTTTGGGCCAGAGTGCTGGAGGATCTTGTGCGAATCTCCAACTTCTCGCACCAAAAAGCCAGGACCTTTTTGCCCAAGTGGTGATCCAGAGCGGAACAGCCAATGCCTATTGGGCTTTGAAGTCTCCTGAGGAAGCCAAACAAAAATCACTGGAATTTGTTCATCTACTAGGTTGTTCAGAGGACAACAATATCAGCATAGTGCATTGTCTGCAAACAAAAAATGTTTCTGAACTTATTCGGCATGAAATAGCTATGTCCTTCAAAGGCCTCCTTGCAAATTTTCCCTTCAGGCCAATCATAGATGGGGAGTTTTTACTTGGTGATCCAGAAAAGCTCATGGAGGAGGGGCAATTTCAGGTCAAACCTATCCTCATAGGTGAAACTTCTGATGAAGCGGCCACATACGTCCACACTACTTTCCCTAACATCACCCACAATCTCATCAATTGGGAGCAGCTTCTGAAAGGGATACAGCTGTTGGCACCAAATGCAACTGAAGATTTTATTCGGACTATTGCACTGAGGTACAGTGAAGGAAATCACGGCCCAGCAAAATATCGCTCCGCTATGTCCCAATTCTATACAGATCGGATCTATGCATGCCCAATAAGGGAAGCTGCAGGAAATATCAGGAAAAGTGGGAGTCCTGTATATGCCTATTTATTCGCACATCGCCCTTCATGGTCAGTTTGGCCTGAATGGATTGGAGCAACTCACAGTGCTGAGATTCCTTTTGTTTTTGGAACCCTTGAATCTACGCTGCCTTTCAATCGAACATACACAGAGGCTGAAGCCAGGCTGAGCCGTAAGATGATGCACTACTGGGCAGAGTTTGCCAGAACTGGGTAAGTGGTTCACTTTATTTCTATAAATTCATATTTTAAATCCAAAGAAAGCCTTTCCATTCAACAAATGCACTTTATATCTAAATCAATGAAGCCATAAACTAATGCACGCTCTTCCTTTGCGTATGTTTACAGGTTGTGTTAATACAAGTAGTTCGTCAAAACCAGTCTCTTTGCTCAAGCAAGAGACCCTATTCTATTCTGGACAAGTGGCTGTCCAATCTCTTCTTAAAAACCTCCAGCGATGAAGCACTCATAGCTTCTGAAGGCAAAGCTGTTCCTCTGATCAATTGTTCTCACTGTCAGGAAATTTCTCCTTATTTCTAGGTTGGTTCTCCCCGTGATTAGTTCCCATCAATGTCCTTTTCTTCCTCCTTAGGAATCCCACTGGGTCAGCAGCCAGCAAGGATGAGTGGCCACTCTATAATGCCACAGAGCAGAATTTCTTCCTTCTTAATACTGAGCCATTCCAGGAAAGGGTGATAGAGCACTGTGATTTTTTAAAGAGCCTTTTTTCAAAGGCTGAAGAGACACGTAAGTTCAGCTATTAGTTCTGCCTTTGGAAGGGAGTAGTGGTTGATGAAAAAGATATTTTTAAAAATCATTTATATATCAAATATAGAGATTGCCCATTTCACTCATAGAGCAATCTCTAAAAATTGATTTTATTGCCACTCTTTGCTGAAACATATTCATTTGATTTTACACTGGGCAATTTTGTAATGCTAGTGATAAATTTTGTAGAGCAAGCATATTTCATGACGTCCCGAGTTGGTTCTCTAGTAATGTCCTCTATGTAAGCCTTAGTTGCCCACATAAAGATAAGAACAATAACAACAATAACCAATCCCTAAACATCTGGGTCACATCTTGACAACCATTGTCATTGACAAAATCCCTCTCAGTCAATTGCAAAAGGCAGCTTTATTTGGAATAGCTTACATCCTGCAATGATAACTTTAATACCATCAAAAAAATCTGCCCCTCCCAGCTTTTTGGGAAGGACAGAGTAGGTGGACAAAAAATGTCAAATCAAGTTTAAACATCTGGCTGACCATGTGACAAACAATAATGTTTTGATATATATTTAATAAATATATATTATACCATGCATCATGGAATCCTCAGAATTCTACTTCTAGATTCAGATTCTTTAGTGATAAAATGTACACCTTATCTTGATATTTCATTTTTCTTTGTTCTACAGAGAAGTCTGAAGGTGATTCTGTTTCATTGGACTAGGAAGAAGACAGCAGGTAGGAATCCAGTGCTTGGTTGTAGTAATGGCTGACAATTGGGATCAAGATTTCAGAAGGGGACTAGACTTCTTCCTAAATAGTAATTTCACATCGGCATTTCAAACCATTTTTAAGTAGCACTTTTGTGGCTCAGCTTCACTGTGTGAAATGGAAGCTCTCCAAGCTGATGCCAATGGCCTTTGTGGAAGAGGAACCTGGAGAAACCTCTCGATCTCAGCATAAACAAATAGAGATCTTGGGCATAGGGAAGGAAGAAAGGAGCCGCTAAGAGTAACTTACAGGGAAGGTTACACAATGCTGAGAAAGAGAAAGCATGAGAATGAAATTCAGCCTGTGGGGGAAATCAGTTTTCATATGAATGAGACTATTTAATAGACAAATGGAGACATTGGGAATGTGTCCTTGTAGTCCAGTGATAAACATTATCAGAACATTCCCATAGGCATCCCTGAATCTCAAGATGCAAATATTTCTTCTAACGAAGACCATTGTCCTCTCTAGGTAACAGAAGGGCAGGAAGGAACTTGAGAGCAGTTCAGTTATTAATTACCAATGTATATGCATGCATATAAATCCCCCTCCATTTTGAAATGTATAAATATGAGTGAATTTGTCAGGTCTGCCATCATAATGTCCTCTACTCACAATAGAATTCCATATGCCACCAGACTTGAAATTTTGGGCTTAGACAATCTGGAACTGCGCCACCTGGGCTATGATCTAAGCACAGTACACAAAATTGTCTGCTACAACATCTTACCTGTCAACGACTTCTTCAGCTTCAACCACAATAATACAAGGGCAAACAATCGATACAAACACAAGGTAAACCGCTCCAAACTCGATTGCAGAAAATACGACTTCAGCAACAGAGTGGTCAACGCCTGGAATGCACTACTTGACTCTGTTGTTATAGCCTCTAACCCTCACAGCTTCAACCTTAAACTGTCTACCGTGGATCTCACCCCATTCTTAAGATGTCTGTAAAGGGGGTGTGCGTAAGTGCACCAGTGTGCCTACCATCCCTGTCTTATTGTCCCTATTTATCTGTATTTACTTCCTATGTTTATGTTCATACCTATACTTGTTATCTTGTACATGTTTGACAAACAAACACAAATAAATAAATAATGTCCTCAGCCTACTTCGCTGGCATCGTGCCATAAAATGCGGGGAGAGGGAGAATGGGGACGTACGGAAGGGAGATGACAGGATGACAGAAACCAGAGGTGTCAATCTGGAACAGACTGGTTGATCCAACAACATGAGCATGAGAATGGAATGGAATGTGAAACTCCACCAAACCTTAAAGCTGTTATCAAAACTCCTAATATTATTGGACTCTTAAAACTGGTCAAGATGGGAGGACCTGGGAGAAGGGGAAAAGGCAGGCTTTGCACAGGAATACTCAGATCCAACTTTCCTTGCGCTGTAACCACTTGACTTTAGTAAAAGTATCCCTTTTGCTACAAATGGATTTGAGGATCTTTCTTTCCTAAACATCCAAGCTAGGACAAGCCTGACAGCATCCTTTTCTCTGCAAGAGTTCCTCCCACTATTTTCTCAAGGGAATTTCTCCAGTGCACACTGGAGTAAATTAACAGTAAATACTGCAGCGAACCTTGATTGCGTGCTTTGGGTCCTGCATTTGATGCCACAAACCCCTCCATGTTTAGTATAAAAGGAATACAGAGCACCTTAGGTGGACTTTTAAGGTCATTAAGACACCAGGCTAGACATCAGGAGACTGTGAGTTCTAATCCTACCTTAGCCATGAAAGCCAAAAAGGTAGGATTAGAACTCACAGTCTGATAACATTTAGTCTGGTGCCCTAATCTCAAAAATCCATTTAAGGTGCTCTGTGTTCCCCTTATACTAAATAGGCAGATTTTAGGCTAGTCACTCTCTCTCAGCCCAACTCACCTCACAGGATTGTTGTTTTGGGGAAATTAGGAGGAAGAAGGTGTGTGGGGTATGTTCTCCACCTTATTTGTAAAAATAATAAAGGCAAGATACATGTAATAAACAAAGATTAATAAAATTATCTTATTCTACCTTACTACAGAGAAGAGCATCCTGGAATCTCTGCTTTGCCTGTGTCTTGAACTGGCCTACTATGAAGGGCTGCCACTTAGGTTGAACCCCTTTGAAAATGGCATCCATGTCTCAAAGGCACCATTTGAAAACCTAGTGACTGTTTTGTTGGCTTCAGAATAATGGTTGTGTGTTTATTTCTCTCAGGAATCAATCAAGACTTATCTTTAAAGCCTGGTGAAATGATGACAAGCTTCACCAAAGAACCTTCCAGAAGCATCCATTGTCCTTTCAGAAACTGACTGGAGGGAACTTGGAAGACAAATAAGGAGAAAACTAAAACCCACATCACTTTTGCAGTTAAAATAATAAATTTCTTGGAGTAATTTGTTATATCTTGATTTGAGACAGCCTTTTAATTAATCCCGCTCCCTCAAAAAGAACCTCTTAAAATGGGGCAAAACTCACTTAAGAAATGATGATACAATGATCTCTTCAATTCATGCATCACCTGATATTGTTGTTGTTATTATTATTGATCATTGCACAGTCAGCCAGATGTTCAGACTGGGTTTGGCATTTTTGTCTACCTATCGAGTCCTTACCAAGGGCCTGGAATTTGCAGAACTGGATGTTTGACGATGTTACAGATATCATCGCAGGATGGAAGCTGTTCCAAGTAAAGCTGCATTTTGCAATTGACTGATGGTGAATTTGTCAATGCCAATGGTGTTCAAGTGGTGCTCCAGTTGTTTTGGGATACTTAGTTCACAGACTTCTGTTGCATACTTCCCTTTGTTTTAAAAGGATTTGGTTGAAGGAGGAGCTGGAGTAATCTGGTTGTCTTAATTGTGGTGATTTGTACTGGAAATCTGAGGCTAGTGGTGTGCTGGAGTCAATTTGTCTGGTTCCATGAGAGCCAATCAGTGGTGGGTTCTAACCGGCTTAACTGCCGGTTCTCTTCGTGCACGTGCTTTGCGTGCGATTGCCGCATGCATGCTCGCTTCATTTGCATGTGCGCCAAACTTGCGCTCCGCGCAAGCACGTTAGCAATATTCCCAGCTGAGGTGTGGCAATCCACTCTGCTGCACCTATCAGCTGGGCTAAAAATAAAGAAATATAAGTTAGGAATAACACGGAGGCGGGCGGGAGGGCCCAACTCCCGGACAAAGAGAACTGGTTTGGTGACGTCATGTCATCACCGCTACCGGCTCAGCCGAACCAGGCCGAACTGGGAGGAACCCACCACTGGAGCCAATTGTTAAATCTTATGAGTTGGTTGAAAATTTTGTAATCTGGTTGAATGCAGAGCTCAGTTACAATGCCTAGCGTACTGCTCAGCTGTTCTGCAGTAGCAGTGTGAGGCAGCAGTGGTAATGGATCCATCAGACTGGTTATTGGATTTTGACTGCACACCATTATCTGAGGCTGAACCTTTAATCTGGCAAGAAGGTGACATTGATAAAAATTTGATTTTAAGAGCATGGATATTAAGGACAGCAGCTTTGGTGAATATACTGCAGCAACTGCTTAATATATACTTGTAATTAAAGCCAGATACAATCTCGAAGTACAGGTAGTCCTTGACTTATGACCATAATTGAGCTCAAACTTTCTGTTGTTAAGCAAGATGTTGTTAAGTGAGTTTTGCCTCATTTTACAACTTTTCTTGTCTCAGTTGTTAAGTGAATCACTGCAGTTGATAAATTAGTAACTTGGTCATTAAGTGAATCTGGCTTCCTTATTGACTTTGCCTATCAGAAATTCACAAAAAATGGTCATATGACCTTGGGACACAGCAACGGTCATAAATATGAACCAGTTGTCAAACACCTGAATTTTGATCACATGATCATGGGGATGCTGCAAAGGTTGCAACTGGGAAAAACAAGTCATAAATCACATTTTTCAGTGCTGTTGTTAACTTTGAATGTTCAGTAAAGGAACTGTTGTACGTTGAGGACTACCTGCACCAGCACCTTTTGCAGAAGAAATACTGATGATTTGCAGCAGTGACCTTTGCAAACCTTCGGAATAACCTACTTCGCGCTTCCCTCCATGTAAATATAATTCCATTGAGGACGGTGTGTTGAGTATGATTGGTCAGCCAGTAACGAAGCCCTCTGGTGGTGGTGATGCTGTCTATCCCACATTTTTTTATCTTACCTAGATGTATGCTGTGGTCTACTTTATCAAATGCTTTACTGACCAAGTAAATTATGTCCAGACTATTTTCCCAACCCACCAATTACAAATGTCTTCATGTAATTAAATAAGTTGGAAATTAATGTAGCCGGGTGGGGAATGAGGATGGGGAGGACACCTGGAACAGTGGCATTTGAAAACACCAGAGAGCCAGGTTGATCAGCTGGACAGCACCCAGACAGGCTGAAAGGTGGCACTTAACTGGAGGTCTGAGCAGCAGTGATGCGCTCCAACGATGGATGCTGCAACCATCTTAAGTGTGAAAAATGGTCATAAGTCATTTTTTTCAGTAGCCTTGTAACTTTGAATGGTCCCTAAATGAACTGTTGTAAGTCGAGGACTACCTGTAATTGTTTTTGCCCATTTAGGACAGCAGTGGTATGATTGCAACATTCAGTTTGATGAAATCTCTTCTCCATGAAGGGAAGATTAGCTATGCAAATAGGCCAATATATAAATGATTGATTATCATATTATATAATTTGGAGAAACTAACAATGTGATGTTGAAATCCTTTCTGGGAAGAGGTGGGATATTTACCATAGAACTGCCTACCAGGTGAACTAACTCAGCCAGCTGGCATGCACATATTATAAATAGTACAAAGACTTTCCTAAACATAAAGTGCCAATGGATGAGCACGAATTGTGTTTTGGGAGTTTTTAGAGGAATTCAATTGAGGTCCCACTGTTTGAGCCACATAAATATTCAGGGGAAACTACTAGATGCCATGAATTGTAAAAATTGTTGGAAAGCATGGAAAGACTAAAAAGGACACAATATCAAAAAAGGTCTTGCATGACTAAAACTTGCCACTATGCACTATTTCATTAAAATAGCTTTCTTCCACCTGATGTCCTCCGGATGTTTGGTTTATATCAGTTGCTCCGATTGAAGATTTCAAATATCCCACATGGAGTGCACTACAATTTCCAAGGACCCAAGGTGTGATTTATTATTAACAGTTCTGATAGTCGGGAATGCTTGCATAAAGTATTCTAGAATTACCTGAGCAATTGTCACTGCTGCCGCTTTCAGATCAAGGAAGCTGAAGATAAAAGTACATTCAAGATAGGCTGAACCCCAGGTACTATATCTGGTGCATAGTATTAAGATCCCATCAGAATTGCACTGGAAGATTTGTTCCATGTACCAGTTATTATTTTCTGAGCAGAATACAGTGTTCTTTAAATCTTGAAAGAGCTTAAGGATTGTCTACCAGGGAGAATGACCTGGTCTTCAGAACCTTCTGCATTGCCAATGAAGTGGAAGCCACATGGGTTTTTGACTGCAGAATCCCCTAGCTCAGGGGTGTCAAACTCAAGGCCCACAGCCACAGGGTGCTTAAATCTGGCCTGCGGGGCCGCCTTGGAAACGGAACGGCCTGCGGTACCTCTGCCAGTGAAAATGGAACTCTGTTTTTGCTGACAGAGGGCTGCAGGAGGCTGTTGTGGCCGAAAATGGGGCCTGGGGGAGCAACGCACAGCCCTCCTGGGCTCCGTTTTTGCTGGCAGAGAGCTGCAGGAGGCCATCATGGCCAAAAATGGGGCCCAGGGGAGCCATACACAGCCCTCCCAGGCTCCGTTTTCACTGGCAGAGGACTAGCAAAACAAAATAAAACCAAAACAAAAGTAGAAATGTTTCCTCAGGAAAGGAGAAAGGGAAAGAGGAAAGAAAAAGAAGGAAAGATGGGAAGGAAGAAGAAAGGCGAATGAAGAGGTAAGGAAAAATAAGAAGAGGGAGGGAGGAAAGAGGGAAGGAGGGATGGAGGGAGGGAGGGAAGGAGGGAAGGAAGGAAGGAAGGAAGGAAGGAAGGAAGGAAGGAAGGAAGGAAGGAAGGAAGGAAGGAAGGAAGGAGATTATAATGAGAGTGAGGGAGGGTCTGAGGCAAGTCCTGTCTTAGTA